AGGAATGGCCATTCAAATTACAATGGTTTAATAGGAAACAAAATTAAGAAATCAGTTTTTTCTTAAAGTACAATGCTATTTTCTGCATATGATACATAGTTTTGTTTTATATTTTCTCTTTTTTCTGGAAAATAGTTTGAAACACACACAACAAACATACCCTAACATACATTAAGCATATTTTTGTTTTAAATTGAGAAATAGAAGATGAACATATTGCATATAAAATATGCAGCGAATGATTAATCTAAGTACAAAGAAAACTAACTTGATGTTCTATTTTCAGTTGTATAGGATGTAGGGATGAAGAATCGTATTTTGGAGCTCTATAAGAAATACAAAGAGAATGAAAACATATATTTATAAGAGATGAAATTGATTAAAAAGGTAATAATATATAGGGTAAATATACGGTATATTTTAGTAGACAATCATTTTAGGTTACTGATTTTAAGGGATAAAGTTAGCAAGTTTTTAAATTAAACAAACTTATCACAAATAGATAGCATTAACATATATGTTTTCCAAATTATAAGGGATTAGATACCCAATTTAAAATCATCCGAGTTAAATGACATGTAAATATGAGTAAATTTTGCAATAACTAGAATTAATTTTTCCCGATTTAATGGGAATAATGTAACAGCCCAAAAACCAGAAGAAAATTTTTCATTTTTATTTTTCTAAAATAAATAAGTACCACAAATATAAAATCTATTCCAAAACCATCACAATGTATAATTGTTATATCATCAGAATACAATATCAAAAATGCGGAAATAACGGGAGAGAATGTTGTGCCATCATGCCGAGCCCTTCCCCTTAGTACCGGAAGTGCCTGAAACCATAAACACAAACTGTATGAAAACACTTAATGAGTTTTCCAAAAATACCACATACCAACAAACAATTAATGTTATGGGCCAAATCATAGTCTTACATTCAATTATTGTCGATGGCCTAATCCCGGTCTTAGTTACATGTGCTAGTGGTCAGATCCTGGTCTTTCATAAAATTGCCAGGGGCTAGATCCTGGTCTTCCATACAATTGCTAGGGGCCACATCTTCGCCTTTCATACACATATTACTCAAATAATCTGCATACTATAACGCAAAGGATAGGGCAACTTTGGTGCCTTCGACCCATTAATACAATGAGAAACTTACCTCAGCCTGCTGGAATCAACAAGATGCTCGACTACTGAACAGAAAAGCCCACACTAACACAAACAAATAGCCCTAATCAGAATTAGGTCATAATCCCAAATCATGGGCCTAAGCCCTAAGTCCAAACTCCTACGATAAGGGCTAGTTGCCTTTCGCATAATGAGCCTAACCATTCTTTGCTCAAACGCAATAACGGGCTCCAAGGCTCAAAAGGCCCAACTACCCCACTTAAGGCCCAATAACATAAATCAAAGGCTCACATACTCTAAACAGGTTAAAGCCCCAAACCAACTAAGGCCCAAAAGATCCAAAAGCCCACTGGGGCGTACGTGCGGCACATTCTCAATACGACTGGCGTACTTCAACCGCATGCAGTATGCGTTGCTTAAACTTGGTACGCTCAACGTATTGAGCTGCTCAACACATTTAGCTATTTGGTGCTTAACCCATACATCCACTTAATCTAACTTCCAGATCTCGGTCATTAAGGGGGTCCTAGGGAATAAAGTTGGCAACTTTATGCCTTAGCATGTCTTATGGGACTCTAACATCCATTTTTGTTCATCAAGGCTCACATTAAGGTCTTAGATTCATGCATGGTTTCATATCAACCATCAAGATAACATTTTTATGTCTCTAACACATCATAGGGACTAAGATCTAGCATTTCTAGCTTCTGGAGTTGCCCAAACTCACAAAAGAGAATACATGGACCTAAATGAGCTCATAAACATACCCTAACTCTAGCTATCAAAAGGATCAACAAGGTATGAGCTTTTTACCTTCAAAAGCTTCCTAAGATGATGTAGATTCAGGATCTTGAAGCTCAACCACGTCCAAAGCTTGCTCACCAAGTTCTTCTTCTTGAAAACACACCAAAAAGGCCACTAAAGTTATTTCCAAGCTCAAAGATCACTCTTAATGGCAAACTAGGGTTTTAGGGTCGCTAAAAGCAATGGAGGCTAATAAGGGTGAGGGTCCAAGGGTCATAAGTGTGTTTAACTAGGGCTCTTGCCCTAAAATCAGGGTTATAACTGTGGTTATGTACGCCCCGCGTACGTGGCTTAGATTCCCGATCCATCATGCTCATGTACGCTAAGAGTACATAGATGTACGCCCACCGTACGAGGGGACCCTTTTCAAAAATATGATTTGCTTTAAGGACTAAAAAGGAAAATACCTGGACTTGAGTGTTACAAATAATATGACTGTTTCCATTATTTAATTTCACATAATCAATAATGAACAACCGGATTTAATAGGCATGGTGTTTATAGTAGCACAAGTGCATAAGACTAGTGGATGTGGGCAACTAGTTATCACACCTAAAAGTTGCCACCTCACATATCATGTCAATATGGTGTTATAACACAAAAATGGAGGAAATAGGCAACTAGTTATAACACTTCATGTCATCATTTCTTTTTTCTTTTCTTTTTTTCAATTTTATTTTGTTATTTAAACAAAATTAATTAAAACATGTTATTTAAATAAAACCTACTTTTTAATTAAACATAACATTTAAAAATCTAAAAAAGCCATTACAACAAAAAAATAACATTTAAAAAGAAAAATAAATAACATTTTTGCCCCTAATTTATTCATTAATATTTCCATCGTACATAAAACCAGTCAAATCTTCTCGAAGTTGCTTGTGTTTTCATGCATCTTGAATATCGACGACCCTATGTAAATATTGCGTTATCCCGGGCTGAAATTGCATGTGCCTGGGCTCCGAAGCCGAATACTCCGCAATCTTTTGTCATTTATCTTCAACCACCATGTTATGCATTATGATACATGCATACATAATATATTGTAGAACGTCTAACTGATATGGCCCTGCCGCATGTTGAACTATGTGTCATTTCGACTTTAAAGCTCTAAACTCTAAAAACATGTTCCACATCCTTATGTGCTCCGTCATGTTTTCTCTTGGAAAATTTGTCTCTTGGTTCCATTGGGTGTCAAAACGCCTTCACGAATGTGGAATGTGCCGGATATATTCCATCCGTAAGGTAATATCCAAACTTATATTCATTTTCATTCACTGTAAAAGGAGCATCTGGTGCCTTTCCTGAGAAAATATCATCAAATATTGGTGATTGATCAAGAACGTTCACGTTGTTGTTCGAACCCGCAACCCCGAAAAAAGAATGCCAAATCCATAAATCTTGGGAAGCAATACCCTCTGATACTAACGAAGGCGTTCCATGATGAACATTTGCATACTGGCATTTCCACGCCACAAGACAATTTCTCCATTTCCAATGTGTGCAATCAATGCTTCCAAGCATACCAAAAAACCATGTCTTTCTTTATGCGCCACATATAGTTGTTGTATATCATTCAATGCAGGTTTGCGCAAATAAACGTCAACGAAGGTTTCAACAACACCTCTCACCAATCTATACAAACTTTCTCTTGCAGTTCTCTTAGACAGTCTCATATAATCGTCAATCGAATCAGGCGACTCTCCCATTTCCATAAGCTTAATTGTGACAACAGATTTCTGCAACCCTGTGAATCCTCGCTTACATCTAGCATCATATCTCATTTGGAAAAATTCATATCTAAATGTAAATTTAATATGTAAAAGCTATATTTGAAAGAAACAATGTATTTAAATTATGTAACAACTATATTTTAAAGAAACAATACATGCTTTCCAAGGCGTTGGCTATCCGAACAAAAACATTTTTCCGCAAACGAAACCTTCTTTTGAAATCGTGTGGCTTGTAGACAACTTTTTTTAGCTGCCACCTCACAAAAACGATTGTGGGCGTTGCTCACACGGAGTGCTCTAAAAGGAATTTCAGTTTCATATTATAGGCATGTAGAAGATTTAGGAGGAATTGAGGATATGTCATGTGGCACATGAGGGAGATACCATATAAGCCATCAATTAGGGACTTTCCAGTTTGTGGTTCATACTTGCCATAGTGGGTGTTTTAGGCTGTTTTTTAGCTTGTTTAAATGCATTCATAGGGTTAATTTCGAATTTAGAAGAAATGCATACTAATGGTGATGTTTTGTAACCGAATAACTCGCCTAACCCAAATAAGGCTTGGGGTAATTAGTCGGGTCTATTCGGTTTTTGGGTAATCAAGTTTGGTTTTAGTTATGTTTTTTAGTATTTCGTATGCACCGAATAAACAATTAGATTAATATTTTAATATTTTAAATTTTTTTATAGAGATGAAACTTACCTTTTAATTTACTTTAATAATATAACCTATCATAAGATGTAAAAACAGGTATGAAATGTACTTCGATATTCTCTAATGTTAAAACATTACGCAAGTTGTAAAGCGGAGGTCGAATACTAAAATAGTGTTGCAACTTATGTGTAGTTAGGTTTATTCCAGACCCTTATTATCCATAGTAAAAAACTTTAGAATAAATTTATTTAAATGGTATATGTGGCATCTTATTTCTGCATATCAAGAATTGCATTCATCATTTAAGAAAAAAAAGAATACTATCTTGCTTTGATACCAAGTTTATGAACACAAGAACAAAAGTCATTTCAATACAATGAAAGGACGAATGCATTCAACAGTAATAAACTCAAAGCTAACTGAAACATGTGCTCCCGAAGGATGCCTAATTTATTCAATTGGAGTAAATCGTTTCTCTCATACAAGATAAATACTGCCAGGTTCCCTTATTTTTTCACTCTTAACCCAGTTAAGTAGACTTGATTAAAACAAAGATTCAACCAGGTAAAAGAAAAAAAAATTGAACAATACCAAATTTTGGGTAAAGAATACCAACAAACACTGTGTAGCAAACATTCATAATATCAGTTGCAATTCCATCAGTAAAAATCATTAATCGTCATTCCTGGGTACACAAGAGGGCATATTCCTTTCATCAACTATGATCTCCAGTTCATAGTTTCCCACAACATCTTGCTCCTGTCGTATTTTTTGAAGGGATACGAGAAGAGAAGCACAACAATTCACAACGTAAATACACTCAAGCGTTGAGATGTCCCCTAATTCAAGGGGTATCTCTTCAAGATCAACACAATTCACCACCTCTAATTCTTTGAGACATGGAAAGTTAATACTTGAGGCTTCCAATTGTTTGATATTTAACTCTTCAAGTCTCAATATTTTTAGTCGTTGAAACTGCTCCTCACCTGTTTCCCACAAGGTTCCCTTAAGGCATTGTCTTCTAGTATGAGAAACTCAAGATTAGGTAACGATTGAATGATCGACATATCGCTCCATGGTAGACCACACCTTACAAGTACAAGTTCTTTCAGTGTTGAAGAGAACCTAATGTAATTCTTTCCCATGTTTGGTTCACCTCTGACAAATTCTCGCTCAACTAATCTCCTTCTGCTGTAGCCCAACCCAATCAACTTTAAGCCTTGAAGGTAATGGAGTCCTTCAAAGTCATTTTTCGTCATCAGAGTAAATACTACATGCAAGATTCTTGATACGTGGAAAATATTTCTTAAAATTATCTACCCCAACTCCCACCACCACATTCGAAATAGATTCCAGTTTCATAGGTTTTCCAATAGAAGGAAGAAAAAGATCTGCATTACAGCCTAAATGCCTCAGATTCACCAAATTCGATATGCTACTAGGTAAAAGCATAGAACTAGAACTTGTTCTAACAAGGAGGGATTGAAGGTTCCATAAATTGCATATTGATGATGGGAATAATGAAATCCAAATTTCAAGGTACCTTAAGTGAACTAGTAATGCTAAACTGGGGGAAAAATCTATCAATTCACATCTTTCTAGATTTAACACCCTAAGAAGTGCAAACGACCGGAAAAACTTTGAGATATTGTCAGTAAAGGTTGTTTTCCTATGATTGCACAAAAGCGATCTAATATTTGGGGTGGACTGACGACACAAACTCATAATGTCGATTTCTTGATTTGTGACCACACGGCATTGCTCATGTGTGGTAATTGCCTTTTTCCGATTTCTTAATTTATTGATTTGTTTTCCTATGATATCACAAAGACCACTAGATGGTGGTTCTATTTTGAGGAAGAAGTTTTCTTCTTTTCCCTTTTCCACAGATAGCTGCCTCACAAGATCATGGACTTTACAAAATTGGACATCACCTGTAATATACAATTCTTCTACAATAAGAAGATTTCTGTCAACCAGATCCATTAGGTAACCCTTCCCGATTTCCTCCAAGCTTCGACATCCATCATCCTGTATAAATCCCTCAGCCATCCATAACAGGATCAACGTTCGTGCAACGATCCAAGAGTCTTCTGGAATCCCTCCCAGATAGAGAAAGCAGTCTCTCAAGTGAAGAGGTAAATGGTGGTAACTTAATGCTATTGTTTCCAGACATCCTTTCTCATCACTAGCAATGTAAGAATGCACACTGCAAGAAATTTTTACCCACAAATCTTGACTCCTTGCTTCTTTTGCTAAAGCTCCTGCCATCACAACCACAGAAAGCGGCAATCCATGACAGTTTTTTGCAATTTGCTTTCCAGGTTCAATCAACCATTCAGGACATTCATCTTCTTGGAACGCCTTCTCACACAACAACTTCCAACTTTCGTCATCTGACAAATGTTGTAAATGATGAATAAGTCCGTGTGATTTTGCGTGCGAAGCAACTTCAGTGAGTCGAGTAGTAAGCACAATGCGACTTCCAGTGTTATCATCAGGGAAAAATAATTTCAGCTTATCCCATGCCTCTTTACTCCAGATATCATCAATGACAATCAAATATTTCTGACGGTTTAGGCGTTTGTGCAGCTTTTCATGAAGTTGAGAGTTTGTTGCTTCTTCAAGCTCTAATTGTTTATCTATGGATGACAGAACTTGAATCAATAGGTCCCTCTTGTCATACGTTTGTGAAACAGTGACCCATCCACGGACATGAAAATGATATACAACATAAGGATCAGTGAACACTTTCTTTGCAAGGGTAGTCTTACCGAGTCCACCCATACCAACAATAGAGACCACATCCAAATGCTTTCCATCTTCAACAAGTTTGTCCCGTATAATCTCAGCATCACGATCAATCCCCACGACGATTTTTTCCACTGCTTTCTTGGATCCTACCAAATTTCTAGTGTTGGAAGTTCCAGCAACGGAAGCTAACTTCATCGGCAGTCTGTCAGTTCTTTGAGACGAATCCATCTTCATATGATCGATTTTTGCAGTCATGAATTCCACTTTGATAGACTTAATTGATCTTATAACATCCTCAAGATTCAGAGAGGTTTGAAAGACATCAGAGATAGTGAAATACTCGTTATATCTACAGTAGACAGCAGATAGAAAAATATCGACGATATCTTCTGCCTCTTCAGCTGTAGCTTTGAATCTTTTCTTCAGTTTTCTCACTTTTTCAAAGTTGTATAGATCTTGGTCTTCGTGGTTGAAAAGGGTTTGCATCATGGAGTCAAGCTCTTCATAAAGCAGTTGGAATTGAGGCCTTTCACATAAGATTGATGGGTTGTTGATCATTGGAATATCATCGGAGTATATCAGCTGCTTCAGCTTTTCCATGAACATCTGGACATGTGCGTATTCCATTTTGTTTCCTCCTCTTGTGAAGAACTGGAAGGTTGGTTCTTTTGAAAATTCCTTGTAAATTAGGTGGACTGGGTTCATGTTTGTAAAATGGGGTTATGGTCCCACCAATCCACTAACTCCGAAATAGTGGAAGGTGCTATTTTTATAATTTCAATTATTTGTCGAATAAAATGCATATAATTGAAATTATATGTTAGGTAGGTTTTTTTTTTTATTCCAGTCCGAAATCAATTTCTTTTTATAAGCCTATCTGATTGGGACTTTGGTCTTATAAAATAAAATATCATTGGTTTGGTTTGCCTTTTAAAATTCTATCTGATAGTGAATTTTTGTCTTCTATTTTAATGTTGGGATTTTCTAATATGTGCACTAAGAGCACATAGGGCACATATAAGAAGTATTAATTAATCACAATTATTACCATAATTAAATGTTAAATACATTAATTATAATAAATATTACCATAATAAATATAAAATTCATTAATAATCTCCATAATTAATGCATTTCACATTTAATCATGGTAATATTTTTTATAATTAATACTTCTTATATGTGCCCTTAGGGCACATATTAGAAAATCCCTTTAATGTTTTATGTTTTCTATAAGATTTAAGGGCCCACACGCAACGACTTCCCTACCCACCCCATTCTCATCTCCTTCCTATCGTCGGTGAAAACAACCTACTTCCCCCCTCTTTCTGTGTGGTTGCGTTTTTGAATCCTGAACAAACGTGAGAATGATGAAGATGAATATTAACCCAAAATTTTCAAACCTTCAAATTGGAATCGTCGAAATACAGTCACAGTCGCATTTTATCACTGTTTCATTGGAGCATGATGAAGATAAATGCACCGTAGGATGGCTCTTGTACATTTATTTCAATACTTCAGGTTCCAAGTATGAGAAATTATTCAACCATTTTGACCCAATGACTCCGATTTACAGTGTCCATGAGCAATTCCATATACAGCAGCAGACTGCAGACTGATGTTGGACTTCTTGTAGCAAGCTATAAAGTGGCCTTGAGCCCTTGACACAAGGTTTCACATGGTTGCTGGTAGTATACTATGCTCCTCTGGTTATCGTTTATGGATTCCTGCCTGTCATCAATTGGTTTCACCATTATATGACTCCACTGAGTTGAACCGGTTGCAGGACGCTTTAACAACCATTGATAGGTATTATGGTCTTTTGAACACAGTTGGTGATAAACAAGTCATCCACCATTTACTCCTCGATATAATGCCATGAAGGAAACAAAATGATATCGATTCTACTTTAGCAATTAAAAATGTAACTACCACTTACAATGAAATTCATTCTAATTTAACAATCAAACAAACTGAAATTACAGAAATTAAAATCGATATTCATTAAAACTTAGCATTTTAATAAGAAATTTTAAAACAGTTAGTCAGTAACAAATTGTGATGAAATTAATAAAAAAACAGAATTAGCCACACAAAACAAGATTACTGATCGAATATGAAATTATATTTAAAAAACTTATTCCTTTAGTGAGTACAGTAAAGCAATTGCAAAACATCAAACGATTTTTAACTAAACAGAAAATCAAAATTTGTCAAAGTGACAAATAACTTTAAACATTGTGCCTAGGTAATTGGTAAGGCGATTTTGATTTATACTTTAAAAACCCATAACCAAACACTAATAAATTTTCAGAATTGGGAAGTCATATTTTAGAAGGGGAGATTCAGAATGAGAATTTTTGGCGATTCTGATTTGTATCCGACGACTCCTGGATTTTTGTTCTGTTTAGGAAATGTTTTTGTTAGCCCTAACCAATCAAATTTGGGCCTGATTTTAATATATAAACTAAAAAAATTGGACCTGAGTTTCCCAAATTGATGCCTTGGCTCTGCCCTGACAACGGTTGGGTCTGACCAAGTATTTGGGCCGGACCATTGCTAAATTGCTAAACTAGCATGAATGAAATTTTTATTAAAGGTGGCTTTTGATTCTTGTCTGTCCTCGGAATTTTCATCAAGTAATTTGAAATAATGTGCATGAGTAGAAAACTTTTAATAAACTAAAAAATGTAGAGAATGGCCTATGGTATCATATGAAGTACTATTTCTTGTAAAGTCCCAAAGAAAGAATACTACACTAGTATTATTTTCTTGTCTTCAACTCCTGATTTGGTATGGATAACTATCCTTCACAAAATTGATCATGCAAGTGACTAAGCAAACTTTATTCAATTTTGACTATGTCCTAAAATTTTAAACTGTTTTTGTTTGAAGGGAGCTATTTTAAGAGTTAGTAACTCAGCTTAGAGTCAATTTATTAATTATTTGCTAACTTCATATTAGTTTGGCTTTTATTTTCCAGGTTGCTTTGTTCCAAAAATTTCAAGTATTCCGATCATCAACATGAAACATAAACTTTATTCAGGTTTTATCTTTTTTTGCTCCGAGTATTATCTTCTACGGCATATTCGTTAAATGTTGAAGACATTAAACATGTTTCCTTGAACACAACGATTCAATGTTCAAAATAGAAAAGTGAAATAAAAAAAAAAAGTTTTTGCATTTTTTGTATAGATGGGGCATTACTATTTTTTTTTTCGTTGCAGGTATGAAAACCCTAAGGACCAACCATGCATCTTAGGACAATGTGGTCGGATGCGTAGAGAAGCTACCCAATATTTCATTGTTGAGGCTGATGTAACATCCTAATTCTAGCCTTTTCCATGAGAAAGGTAAGTATGATGTACTTAAAAGTGGTTAAGGTGATAGTAGTGTTACGTGGTGAAGTTGAAAGAATCTACAAGATGTAAATTGTAATATAAACCAAGAAATATGTTTTCAGCTTGATTTAACTATATAAATGTAGACTGTTAAATTGTCTAGCAACTTTCGTATTTTACATTGTTGGAAAAATATAGTAGCCATATATTTAAGCATAATCTTGCATAGTATTTTTTAGGTTAAAAGAGTTATAATTTTTTTGAATGTATTGGAAGGTTACATATTCATAGAGTTGAATATGGTTCAAAATACATTCTATAAAATAATTAATTTATATATTATAATTCTAAACATTTTTAATAATTTCAGTGCATTTCACTTTTTTGTGATGTGGTAATTAGATTATAATTTAAACAAATAGACACGGAAAATAGAGTATTACAATACCTATCCATGTATATGTGTAAGGTAGAGAGCTGGTAGAGTAGAGTCGGTAGTATAGTCTTTATAGTTTTTATAGTGTAAACTGGTAGAGTAGAAAGTATAAATTTGTCTGTATTAGTAGAATCTAAAGTGTAGTATCTATGAATGTAATTGTTGTAGACTTAGTTAGAGGATGATGGTGAAACGGTTAAAGACGCCGGGAGCATATAGTCTCGTGTGTTAATGAAACGGCATGTAGACTGTAACTACACTGTAACGACCCAATTTTCAAAAGAAAGTTTTCATTTTTGATTAACCAAAATACTTTCCAATACAATTGTTTTTAAAATTCATAACCATTATAATTTTATTTCAAACCATCAGATTGTCCCATAAAAACGCCCGAGAGAGAGTGCACGCCGCGTCATCAAACCTTGCCATTGCCCTTAGGGTTAGATGTACCTGAAACAAATCCACAAACTGTTAGTTAATGCTTAGTGAGTACCCCATAACATACCCCACACACAATCCACATAACACATATCATATTAGCTATAAAAGCTACATATATCACATAAGCCATGCATACAACATATAAGGATGCCATGGGCTCCTCCCACGGTCTTACTCCAGTATGCCATGGGCTCCCCCACATGGTCTTACACCTAAGTGCCATGGGCTCCCCCATGGTCTTTAGCTGGAAAGCCATGGGCTCCCCCACATGGTCTTATATCCAAGTGTCATGGGCTCCTCCCATGGTCTTTACTTGAAAAGCCATGGGCTCCCCCACATGGTCATACATCCAAGTGCCATAGGCTCCCCCATGGTCTTCCCTGTAAGTATCTCGAATGCTGAACTGACAAGCTACGATCAGATATATCCCACACACTACTCCAACCCAACTGCCTGTTATCATTATGTGATTAACTTGTCACACTCCCGAAATACCATAATTATCCTCAAAGTCAACCCTGGTCAACCCTGGTGAATGTTAAGGTCAACAGTCAAGGTTAACAGTCCATGTTGACCTCAACTCATCGATTGCATCTAGCAACTCGTCGAGTTAACTGAATAATTCTTCAACTCGCCGAGTTACCTATATAATTCGTCGAGTTCCTCCCGAGTCCATTCCTCTGAATATCGAGTCAGCTAAGTGACTCGTCGAGTTCATCAAATGTCCAGAAGACCTAAAGTCCATGTAGACCAAAACTCTAATCCTTCCCTGCACTCATTCAAAAACTCAAAAACAGGCAAACCCTACCCCCGACTTGTTGAGTCAACTAGGGGACTCAACGAGTTCCTTCAGTTCCTTTTGTGTTCAGTCCTTTTTGGTGGGGTCTAAGGTCCCAAACTTCATATCTAACCTCCCCTAGTGCAGTTACCATGTAAAGTTGCAAACTTTACGTGCATGCAAGGCCTCACAAGGCTAAAACATCAAAACTAAGCTCCCTATAAGGTTTTAGTGCATGGAAAGGGCCTAAGCTGGATAAAGTGAGCAACTTTATGTCATTGGGAACCTAGAGAGCTCCAGATCTGGAAGCATATCCTTGTGATAAGTCTAAGTCCGAGTATGACTCCATTTTGCACCAAAAATGGTCATTTACTTCAAAGAAAAGGGATCTAAGCAACTAAAGATCAAGGTAATGACTTTATACCTCCAGATGGTTGCCAATACAGAGTAGAAGTCGGATCTACTGCTTCTCTCCTTGCTCCTTCTTCTTCAAGCTACAAAATCCTTCACAACCACACCAAAATTAATCACAAAAGCTCTCGCTCTCACTCAAGAAGGTGCAAGGTTCAACTAGGGTTTTCTCTAGCTAATGAAGTGGTAAGGGAGGCCACAAGAGGCTGATTATGTTCTTTAAATAGGGTGCAAACCATAAAAAATAGGGTTTTCCTTTACAGCGCCTACTCGTCGAGTCGGGGCCTTCTGAATCGTC